ATGGATGGCACAGATAAGCCTATTTGGAAATAAGGCCAGGCTAACAATTAAAACCAGACTGTTCACTCTTTGGTCATCTTTAGTAGCTTTCCTTAGGCATCTGCTCCTTTCAGCCCAGTGTGTAGTATTTCTGTACCTAACACATCCATCCTCTTCTTTCTCTGATTTCTGTTACCTTGTCTTTAATGTCTAAAATTGTTCTCCAAGTAGAGACATTTGCTGGATTTTTGCTGGTACAAAGCTTAGCATTCATTAGAACTGGATTAAAAAGCCCATAAAAAAATAGTCACAAGACAGACCACCTTCTTCCACCCAAACATAACTCAGTGGAACAGACAAGATATGGCTGTTTCCCAAAACCTCATCTCTAAGGGTCTTCTTGCTTTTGCTGGCCAAAGAAAGAGAATCCATTATAAACCAGACCCCAAACACTGAGCAGCAGTTTCCTCTGGTCTGCCTCAGCAGACTTGCTTTGTCTTGCTCATCTGCAGCTCAATTTTCATGTTTTGCTGGTAAAGAACCAGGAGACAAGACATCACTTGGAAATTTTCATGTCCAGACCGCGTGCTACAGCAGGGCAAAGTCTGATGGTTTTAGGCATGCCTTAAGCAAAGGGGTTTTTTGGGTGCTTTTTCTTTAACATTCAAGAATGGAGAAAAATGTACTATAATAATACAGGTAGGCAATTATAGAACCCAGGTGCTTTTGCAAAGAGTTAAGTGTCAATAAATTTTAGGTATAAAACAAATACACAGAAATTAGAGACACATACATCTCTCCGAAGTCATCCACTTAATCACTGGGGAAAATACAAAACAAAACACCAGTCCCAGGATTTAAGCACTGTCAGAGCCACTGATGGTTAAGAGTCACATCTTGAAAATCTTCATTGTGCTAAGGTTGCCCGAATATTGTATCCTCATGGAAAAATTATTCTTTTGGGTTTTGGTTTTCTTCAGCTTAAATGCTATCCCGTAGGACTCAAAAAAAGCCTCAGAAGAACACTTTCAATATGGCATCAGATGAGAGTTTTCTTTACAGCGCGTATGGCTCCCTTCCTCTACAGTATCAGCAAGTGCCGCAGAGCCAGTTCCTTTCCCTTCGTTGTATCAGATGGAACCACAGAGACAAAGGAAATTCCCTTGGATTTCACTGAATTTCACTGAATTTTTAGAGTTGGAAGGGACCATAGATCATCTAGTCCAACTGCCCTGCTGAGGCAGGATTGCCTAGAGCATGTTACTCAGAACTGCATCCAGGCGGGTCTTGAAAATCTCCGAAGAAGGGGGCTCCACAAAGACTCCCAAAGGCAACGTTACTTTACCTCTGATTACAGGGGTGAGAGACAATCTCACATTTTTGTGTTGTTTAAGGAATTTCTTGCTTCCTTACTGTGTTTATTTGTTAACTAGTATATAAACATACCAAAAGGTTACAAGGATGTGTAAATTACATCAGAAATAGCCTAGGCAAGGACAGTTCCAGCTACCTACAAATGACATGTTTCTGGCCATCAACTCAGCTTCTGAAACCATCCCAAAAAGACTGCCAGAGTCCAGGTCAGCAACTGCTAAACTCCATGTCTCAACATAGCTCAAAAGAAAATCCTCTTCCCATAGCAGCCATTAGGGTCATTGATGACTTTTCCAGGCATGGACAGAGGAGAACATCGCAAAACCTTCTGCCCACCCTCCTCCACAGAAGTTCTCCCTGGAGTTTTGGATTTGTCGTCTTTTATTCTTAGTTAAATCCCACCAAAAAAGAATGTAGAAGTTGAAAAAAAATCCTCATATGTGCAGATGGACAAAGGATTTATTTACTGCATTTCTCTTCTCCTTGTTCCATATTACTGGCCAGTTATAAGAGAGGAAAATACAGAAATCTTTGCTGCTTCTCTAGTTAAAATCCCCAGAACTGTCATCCAGCACAGCGACTGATGCTTAAAAATCAAGCCAAAGCTGTACTTTGAAATGACTGGGAACATGTTCCTTCTGTAATTTAAATTACATCGTTTGTACATGGATATTCAATCTCCTCCTCCTCCCTCACACTGATTACCTAACCAGTCACCATTACACATCTCAGAAGAGAAACTATTTTACCTCCCTATGACACCTGATCTTGTAAAACATGATGCAGAAACAAAAATCCCAACCCATCTGTAATTTTCTGCTCATTAGCCCTCCAGGAGGACAGTGGACACTACCAGGTGGATGGTGTGATACCCAAAGAAGCCAAAGCATTACTGTATGTGGGCTGTCAGCAAACACCCCACCACGCTCACCTGGTTTAAATGGATGCGGTGTCTTGGTAAGGTTGAAAGGACAAAAGACTGCAATGATCTTTCACTAACTCCAGGGCAGAGATGTAGAGTTAAACATGGCAATTCTGAATGATGTTCATTGCATTACTGATGGATACATGCAAGGGAAAAACCCAGCCAGAAGGGTGCATTTGCTGGAAGGCAGACAGGCAGGGGCAGCATATTCTCATACTGGGAGACTGTACAGGACAGCATGCAGTGGTGGAATGCATACATAGTTAGGCAATAAACTCCACAGTTTCATCAAGTCATATCAAAACAACACCTAGGAAGTGATCCCACACTACAGAATTTGGAGAATGCATTTTTATAAGTCGTAGTTCCCTCATGACTTCAATGCATGGCAAGCAGGGAAAATATATCCTTTTATATTGTGCTAACATCTGCCCCGTGGAGATGCAAGTCAAAGGAGAGATTAAGGAAGGAAGAAGCAATGCATTGATTCCACGCTTCCTTTTTGAAGTTACAACCATGTTACAATCGCAAAGAATTAGGTCACTCTGGGCTTTCCCCAATATGACTGTCCTGAATAGACTGGTTTAATTTATGTTCAGTATATTGCAGGTTGAGAACAAAATGTTTTAGAACCATTTCAAGGTACCTACTGCTCATTAATCCAGGTTCTTTGAACTCCTGTCCTAGTGAATACAGCACAAAGCATGTGACAAATATGGTTAACACTTCATGTTTTGCCAATCCACAAGAAGGAAGAAAAGAAGGTTTCATTTTAGATAGAGTAAGAGCTATATAATTGCCAAAGAAATTAAGAATAATTACAAGTGGTTTGCCTAATAATTACCTGTCATTACATTTTTTCTCTAGCATAGAGGGTAGATACATCTACAAGAAAGAGAAGGATGATCATGTTTTTTGGAATGGCAGAGAGAGATGCACAGCACGTGGCTACACGGTAATCCTGGCTGGTACATGCACACAGAGTGGCAGGTTCCCCGTCCCCTCAAAGCACAGAAGGATGCCATCACACTCAATGCACCAGCTTGTAATTCCACCCGATTCTATCCTCAGCTCCAGCACAGATTTACTGCACTCTAATCTCTTTCCCTTAGTTTTTCCATTTATAAAAATGGGATCATAATTGTTCAGTGAATAGTATATTTATGAAGATACGCTCATTCATGTGCCTTAGAGAGGAACTCCCCAGAAGAAAAAAAAAAAGAAAGATGAGAAATCAACATCTGTCACACACACACAAGTGAGCAGCCCCACAGATTGCCACATGCTGGGATGTTTCCCCGACTCCCATTTTTCATCCATCATAATGCAGAGAAGTAATTGAGATCTGGAAACTATCTCTTAAGGAGATACTTATCCTCCATTACAGTGCAGAATAGACCACTTATTAAAGTTAATAAACTGAAAACTTCTAAACATTTGAGTGACAGTGTGAACTTTTAACGGAAAGGGTTCTTTGCAAAGACAAGGACATAACTCCAAAACTGCATGAAAAACTAGAGGACTTCTGCATTTTAAAAATATTCATACTGAACAGAAACCAAAGAGATTTAGGCAACAGTATTAACTGTTTACAACTGTTACTGAGGGGACCACTGATAGATTGAAAGACCCACCTTGGTGGGCTACATAATGAAATGAAATTGTTACAGAATTGAACTAGGAAGGGTTAGTACATAAACATCTGCATGTTAGGATGAGGCATTCTTGCATTAGTTACTTGTCAAGTTGTGCAAGGAACACTATTTCAGCAAAATCAAATATCCTCTCTCCTGCTGAGGTTATAGAGATAAAGAACACTATCATTTAGAAAAGGTAGAAGAGGAACATGCAAAACAGTCCCTTTTTGAGGTGAGACAGAAGGGATTAGTAGAGGACATCTAGAAGAACTTAGACTATGTACAAGAGAAATAGGTAGAGAATCCCTGTTTTCAAACCAGTTCTACCAGTATCTTTCCCTGCTACACATACAGGACTTAATTAACATCGCTACAACTTTGCCATATTACATGCTCTATAAATGCTACTATTATTACTATTGTTATTATGATCAAGCTTCAGTCCACAGTACAATTTTAAGGACAACTGTTCAACTGCTCTAATTAAAAGGTCCTGCTGAGAAACTGAACAGCTCTTGGCTGCAGTGTTCTGAGAGGGTTCCTGTCTGTGTGCTCCCCAGTGCTTTCACTGATCCCCTGCAGAGGCACGAGCTGCCAAACCTACTTGCTCAGCAGCTCCTTCCTTTCTGCCCTTTCTCGACTGGACTATGTGAACACACAGTAGCAAAGTCTGCTCGTGCTCCTGCTTCATTTAGCTGTTGGAGCAAAACCTTTAATGGCCAAAGGATAAAGCAGAACCACACGCACAAACAGCTTCAACCCTCCCATCACTAAATATGTCTAGCTGAGCAGATGAAAAAATACAGTAGCCAGGTCTCACAGACTGACATGGTGGGATTTTTTTATTGTTGTAATGGTTTTAGACAACCCCCAGCCCATTTTCAGCTCATTTCAGCTCAGAATTGCCTGCACTGTACATTTTCGGTTTCATGCAGTTTAGTTTTAGAGTGAGATACTATGGAAAAAAAGTGGTGTTGAGCAAAGCGGGTTTATTCACTCTAGGAATACATTACTGATCCTAGAACCCCTCTAGAGATAATACAGTTCCCACCTTAAAAAAAAATAAAAGATATTAAAATACTTACAGTAAAAGCTTGTCCTCTTTTCTGCTTTAAAAAGAAAACTGTCTCCCACTAGCTTCTGACAGCATGTGTAAGCCAGACTGAAAATTCAGAGCTTGAGTGCTTCCCTGAGAGGAAAACCACATTGCAGCGAGACACAGAGAGCTGCTTGAGAAATGATTCACATACGGAAGCAAGCTGGCTTCACCAGCACTTTGGCATTCAGCACACACACGCACACACATATGCACACTTGCTTACTCAGGGGAATGAGAAATATTATATTTTCATCAAAGGAAAGAGGATTTATGCAAGAAAGTAATTTGTGTCCCACCATCAAAACACCGAGATGCTTCAATTCGTAAAGCAGATGAAGAGTTTCTTTCAGTGTCCCATCATCCCCAACAGCAGAACTGGACACCGGGCAGGGAATATAAACCCCAGATTAGTCTGCATGATCCAATCAAGTAAAAACATGTGGTACATACAATGTTGGAAGGACAAGGAGATGGCCATAGAATTCAGGCATATTTCAGAAGAAACCACAGAAGCAGCTTTCAGCTTTTTCATATTCCATGCTAATAATCTCTCCCCCAGAGTGCCAGCAGTCACAGCCAGGACACCTTACAACATTTCCCTTTGCCTTCATCATTGCTGCAAAAGAGTGGTGAAGTGTGTGCATGCAGGGAGGGAAGATACACCAAGACAGAGGCTTTTTACACAGGAAGTAACTAGAATCAGTCCTGAGTAACTTCTCTTGAGCTGTCCAAGAAGTGTCAATCTGTTCTCCATTTAGAAGAGAGCAAATAAGGGACAAGAGTGAGCAATGCTCAAAAACGTTCCCCTTTCTGAAGGTTTCTGAAGGGAATTTAGCATCTGAAAATAGGAAGAAAAGGACCAGAGGTCTTAACGGAGTTAAAGCAGGCAAAGATAGTATCAAGCTGGAGGAAACAGAGGAGATGCAAAGAAAAATCAAATCTAAATTTCAAACACAGATACCTGCACTGTTTAAAACTGGGCTTTATGTTCAACTCTGTCCAGAGAGGGGTCTGTTCACTCTGAGGTCTCTGACCCAACCCGTTCAGACTGTGACTACAGATCAGGAAATCTCTCCTGAACTGCAGAGAGGGATCCTTTCCCAGCAGTGTGGGTGCAGTGTATAAGCAATGTTAATTCACAGCTCAGATAAGGCAGCAGTACATTATCATTCATACTAGTGAAGTTCTTGCAGATATTGTGATCTACATGAACTGTGTTTCTCCTCCCCGAGGAAGTGACACTACATTCAGTGATACACACACAGGCAGTGAGGTCACTTAGGTACCTAGTGAAGGGACGACAAGTCACTCCCTCTGCTTTTGACTATGGACTACCTTCAAAACTGAACAGATACAGCTGGAAAATACCAACTTGGAAGCAAATGACTGCAAGTCCCTGGACCCTGAACTCAAAGATGGGAGGGACATCAGTTGCATATGCCTTGCTGAAAAGCTTCTTTGTCTGAAGAAAACACTCACACTTTTTGGACTGCAGCAACCTGCCTCTTTGCCATTGCTGGTGAGTTCGTACAGGCTCAGTGGGGGAACAGCCTTGTCAGCCCAATAGGTTTTCCTATCCTTCAGCCAAGAGAAATAAAAGAACTCAAGTGATGGGAGTTGGGAAAGGAGATGAGCTACTATATTTCATTTGCAAAGATATTTTTAGATTTGATAAATATAACTTGACCAAAGCCTAAAAATGAAAATGCTTGGATGTGCAGAGACAGTCACAGCATTTACATGCTTCAGCTTCGGTAGACAGGCTGGAATAGTGGCGTATAATTTCCCCAAACCCAACAGCACAAGACCAGACAGTACATTTGTTTATTTAGAGGTTTTCTAGTAGCCCTTATTGCTATAATTATCTGATCCCTTTACTTAGACCAAAGAATTAAGCAGCACAAAACCTTCTGAATTGAAAAATTGCCTGTTTAATGAACGAAGTCCAGAAAGAGACAGCTAAAATGAGCTTGGCCAGGGCCACAGAGAAAGCCTGTGGCTTGTCCAGAGCCTTAACTATAATTACTTTCACACAGCCAGGGTGAGAAAACAATTTCAGTAAGTGATATAAACTTTTTAAAAGAATCTGCCAGGTTCTCGCCCAGCTGGTAAATTTGGTTGACAGACAAAATAACAGCGAGCATATTGCTTGCGTGCTGCTCCATCCGCTACCTCCACAACTCTAAAACAAGGTATAAGAGAGTGAGACCAAACCCCACTCATCAATGCACCTTTAAAATACTGTATTTGAGGAATTCCATTTTGTTGCAACCTGCATTGCTTGTCCCATTTTACAAGAATAAATATAGATGAGACATAACTTAATGGGATGGGCAAGGGGCAGAATTTCTAGCAGCGCAGCTTGTTTGAGAAGCAAATGCACAGGAAGAGAGTGTGGAAAAAGAAGGCTTACACAAGGAACAAGATTTAAAATATCTTTGAATGTACAAATATTTATGCTATATTTAACTGCTTTTGTGCATGCAACAATCTTAATTACAGAGGAGAGAAATTCCATAAACAAGGCTATTATGTCAATAACAACATCTTTTAAAGCAAGTCTCTAATTCAGTTATAAAGCTTGGAACATTACTGTCTGGAGTTATAAAACCAAAAGTAATTACAGAGGAAAGTCTGCATCAGACAGTGAGTATTAGTGGAGTCAGGCCATGGCTTTGGGACAGCAGTTACTCCACGCTTTCTTCCTTTTTGTATGTAACTGATACAAACTTCTTTATTTTCTCAGTTCCACTACAGATGTCAGGAAGTTCAAGCAGCAAGTGGACATTTGCAGAATGAATCATGGGGCACCGCTTTTCATTTTGACAAAAACAACTGCTGTTCTGTTAACAAGATGATGCTGATCGAATGGGTGGATAGAGAGAGCGAGCTCCTACAACCGTTGCCAAAAAGGCTCCGCCAGTGCAAGAAAACTGTGTGTACTGACTTGGGGAACTCAGATTCACTTTTTTTTCATTCCCCTCCCTATACAGCTCCATGTTCCCACTCATACTTGAGGGGTAGCCTATGGCACGGCTACCAGCTTTGACCTGGAACTAGGGAAAATATTTGTTGCTGGAAGAGACTAGAATCATTAAATTTGGAATAAAGGCAGATATGTTTTATGGAACATGGAGTGCTACAGGAGATGAAAAACAGCTTCCTTTGCTGCTTTTTGCCAAAATTTCAGAAGACCAGACAACAGCTCTAAAATTTCCAAGGGAACAGCCACTAAGTCAAAAATAGAATTAGGAAACTGCCTGTTGCAAAAGTAAGAGTCTTTAAGAGGTGCCAGCATTTTTCAGCATTTCTATCATGTGCAAGTAGAACACTGAAGAGTTAACAGACAGCTATCTAACAAAAAAAAAGCCAACCCACAGAAAAAGACAAAATGAGGAAGCAAATCTACGTGGTAGAGGAATATTCATTGTATTTCATGTTTTTAAAATAAAAGTCTGTGATCACTTTTGCACACATTTATCCAAAGTTTATTTTTCTCTGCAATTTTCAAAGGTCTGCACTGTCTTAGGCACCAGAGATACAGCAACAAACCAAGGACAGCTTTTACTGCAGTCACCCCTCTATTTAAAATGCAGATAAAACTGAATATGCAAAAAAGGCAATACTCATCGCTCTTCCCTGGAAGGGGAAAACAAGACTTTCAGTGTTATTTTTTTACTTCAACCATTTTTTTCCTATTTCAATGACTAAATAAAAGACTTAGAGGAAAGGGAGTATCTCCATTCTTTTATTATTCCTCACTGTTAGCTTTCTGATATATAGGTTATAATGTGGCATTCATTAACAATTCATAGAGAATTACCATATTCGAGTAGCACAGCAAGTTTTCACTAACTACACAAGCAAAACACCGTGCAACCTTACTTGCACCCTTTGCTTATTGTCCCAGAGGGATCACATGCTGGAAAAGCTTGCATTTTATCACCTAACGGGAAAGGAATTACAACAGGTATCCATTAGAAACACTAAAGGGCCTCGAACAGAAAACTGTTTCATTAAATTTTTGCTGATCACTGACAATGGAGAGCTGTGCAGGAAAATTAAGGACTGGAGAAGACGTGTGCTGGAGGCTGCCTCAGAATTAAAAAACCCCAACAGGATGGTGGAGGAACGTCCCACTGCTTTGAACTTTTTGGTGCATTTCAGGGTGATGCAAATAAAAGACCTGAGTTGTCAGCTTTGTTTCAAAGGGACTTGCCCTGGAACTGCTGACAGCCCCTGAATGGAAGCAGAACTGCAGGGTATGCCTAGATGTACGAAGTGCATCACAGGGAGCCCAGTAGCAACAAAAACTAGGACAAATGAACAGAGAAAACTGATGAAGCACAAGGAGTTCAAGTCCCAGGAGACGAACAAGCCCTGTAATGTAGATCAGGATTTCAGGAAGAAGAAAAAAAAAGCTATTGGTGAGGTTTGATTCCCCATATAGCAATGTCTTAGAGATTCTGTCTTGTTCTTACTCTCTGCATCTTTTGCAGATTACTTGAACAGAATCAGCTAATCATTGCAGTAGCTTAATAATTCATCTATTTCACAAGGACGGAACCAAAGGCACCTAAAGTACTGAAAATATCACAAGCTAGTAAGGATTTACAGTGCCTGTTGACTTTAGCTCTCATATAATAAGTCAGCAGTTTTTGCAAGAGACATGCATATTGCTATACATAGGCACCCTCAGAGCATAAAAGTTTGGCTTTGATGACATAACCAAATCCAGAAAAAAGAAAAGGAGAAACTAAATTTTAAAAAAATATCAGCAATTCCTTGCTTCCTGACAGCTTGTATGTACAACCATGTTTGCTGCTGGTTAAACCTTTAAATCAACTTAGCACACTTGAGAAATTTAACCATGCAGCTGAAGTTTGAAGCATCCAAACACTGAGATCCTCCCTGTCCTAACCACAGTGTTACAGAATAACCGTTGAGAAACACGCATCGGTATAATGTAAGCAAATTCTATTCTGAGTTCCAGGTTCTGCTTTCAAGAATTCTTACGAAAATTATTTCCTTGGATTTCTTGGTTAGTAATCATGATTACTTCAGATCCTAAGCCCTCAGTCCAAATTTTGAATACAATAACATTGTAACTACAATCAATT